CTGAAACAGCCAGGTGCCCCCCCTTTTTTTCTTGAGGTAAATGCATAATTGATCAATGTTTTTTGCTTGTTAGTATAAATATTAAATAGCATTGAATTTTCCCTGAATAAGATTTTTAACTATATTCTAAAAGTTTTGATAAGTAGCATGACATAGTTGCTATATTCTAAATAGTCTGTAATTTCAGAGTTTTTTTCAGTTTTATTATATAATTTCAGTTTTAATTTCTTCTTTACCTAAGAGTTATTTAGAGGTGTCATTTAACATTTCCAGGCAATTGATTTTTTAAAAAGTTTTCTTTTTATTGATAGCTTCTTTTTTTAGTATTATTTTGGTCAGAGATTTCTAGTTAATAGAATTTATTATTTATTGACAATATGATCCTTTAATCTCTATGCAATTTCATTTATTCTGAAAAACTCATCTTTAACCAGTCTCATGAGACCACTCCTGCCATCATCATCTCTATTCATAGAGAGGGCCTTTCCCAATTTCACCTGAACTATTATAATTTGATCCTTACTGGCTTCTTTCTCTTCAGAATGACTCTTCCTTTACAGTTTCTTTCCATTTCTAGAAATGTCTGAAATTTTCTGAGGTATGTAGAGAATGGTCATTTTTTGTATTTGAAGAGTCTTATTATAGGTCCAGACCATAGCTAGATGGGAGATTATGGAGACCTTGAACTAGACTTACAAGGTGGAATGGGCCCTGCAACATCAGATACAGCATGTCCTGGGTGGTGGGGAAGGAGTCCAGACCAACAGGCAGAACAAAGTTTTTGAGAGATCTGGGAAAGCAACAAGATTGATCTCAAGGTAGTCCAAAAGTAAGGTAGGGAGTGCTATAAGATGCTTGTGGAATAATTAAAGATCAGTTCTTGAAGCAATGGAAATCAGAGATTCAAATAGATAGCTAGAGGGGCGCCTGTCTGGCTCAGTTGGTAGAGCATGCAACTCTTGATCTTGGGGCTGTGAGTTTGAGCCCCATGTTGGGCATAGAGCCTACTTAAAAAAAAAAAAAAAAAAAAGTAGCCAGAGAGATCAACTCCTGGAATTGACAACTGAGAAGAATTCAGGTCTCCAATCCTAAAAAGATGGCTGACCTAGATAGGTGACCAAGAGTAGAATTAAGGAATGTGGAACAAGATAGAAGAATGCTGGTCACGGTAATTCAGTTATAATGTCAGAAGTGTGAAAGTGTGGATGTAATGGTATCAAGTTCAATATTTTTTGGGTTAGAATGCCTTCAGTGCCTTCCAAAGATTAGAACTGACCCTAGTGATAAAGTATCTTCTGGTTTATGCTAGGGAGTTGGTGGCAGAAAGGAGAGGTATTAGGCATCATTTGACATAACATATGGAAAACCCAATTATCCCACTAGAAGTCTCCTTCTATAAATGATGCTATTCAGTGGAACATTATTTTTTTCATGTTTTATTGAGATATAATTGGCATACAGCACTGTGTAAGTTTAAGGTGTACAGTATAATGACTTGACTTACTATGAAATATTACCACAATAAGTTTAGTAAATATCTATCACTTCATATAGATATAAAAAAAAAAAGAAAGAAAATGGTTTTTTTCCCCTGAGAAGTCTTCAGATTTACTCTCTTAGCTTTTGAATATACCATATGGCAGGGTTAACTGTTGTCATCATATTGTACATGACATCCCCAGTACTAATTTATCTTATATCTGAAAGTCTGTACCTTTTGAATAACTCCATCCAATTCTTCCACCCTCTACCCTTTGCCTCTGGCACATCTGATTTTTTTTCTATGAGTTTTTTTGTTTGTTTGTTTTGGGTTTTTTTTTCTTGTACTCACATTGATGGATGTTTGTGATTTTTTTTTTAGCCCAGAAATAAAGAGAATAATGTAACTCTATGTATCCATTATCCAGATTCAACAATTATAAGCATTCTGCAATTTTCATTTCATCCTCTCTTGTTCATGATATATTTGAGGAGTGAAACGCACAAATACATAAAGTATCACCCAATTTTTATTTTAAAAAGTAACATACACAGAAAGAGAGGAAGAGTGTGTTTGTGCATGCATGTGTGTGTGTGGCGTGCGTGCGTGTGTTTATTGTGTAAAAGATCTAGGAAAAAAACACATCAGACTTACGTAATTATCCCTAGTGTGGGGAGTGAGGTGGGTAAGAGTGAAGGTAGGTAGATTTTATTTTATTTTATTTAAAAATTTTTTTAGTGAGAGAGAGCATGAGCTAGGGAGTGGGGGGAGGGGAGAAGGGGCAAAGGGAGAGGGAGTGAGAGAAAGAATCCCAAGCAGGATCCACGCCCAGCTCAATCTTGGGGCTCAATACCACAACCCTGAGCTCATGACCTGAGCCAAAATCAAGAATCAGATGCCCAACTGGCTGAGCCACCCAGGTGCCCCTGGTAGGTAAGATTTTAATTTTTCACTCTATACTCCTGTTTTTTTTTTTTAAACAACATCATGTATTGCTTTTACTAAAATAAGCAGAAAAAAAATAAAAGAAAGCATTTTACCCAAAGAGCTTAACAAAACCAACCAACATTATTATCACCATTAACCTCAGTGTTCATGGGAGAAATTTAGTCCAGCGTTTATCTATGGCCTTTGTAATATTTTCCTTTTTTACTGTATCAGATATCAAAAATGTGTTGAACCAATTTTATTTATTTATTTATTTATTTATTGAAGATTTTATTTATTTGAGAGAGAGAGAGAATGAGAGACAGAGAGCATGAGAGGGAGGAGGGTCAGAGGGAGAAGCAGACTCCCTGCTGAGCAGGGAGCCCGATGTGGGACTCGATCCCGGGACTCCAGGATCATGACCTGAGCCGAAGGCAGTCGCTTAACCAACTGAGCCACCCAGGCGCCCTGAACCAATTTTAATATATATGCTACCAATGTAATCATACTTGCAGCAGTATTTCCAGAAAAGAAAAAAAAAAAAAAAACAACGAAGCTATCCAGTGACAGCAAAGGCCTGAACAAAATTATGAGGATGGCAGGGAGTTGTTAATAATTGATTTGATCAGTGCAGAGTGAGTTGTCACCAGAAGATGAAGAGTAGCCAAATCCTCTGCATTCCATTTACATCAAGTAGGAGGTGAATTCAGGTATTGCATGCTCTCTGGAGACTGATAAGCCCATTACTCACACGATAAACATTGTATTACCATAGCAAAGCTGCTACCCTGAGAGACACTAATTCTTTTTTGTGTCTCTTCTGTGAACACATGAGATAACTTTCAAGAAAAGGAGTGAGTGCATAATATTGAGAAAAATTTGAGGAAGTGCCTTTTATGGACTGAATTGTGTCCTTCCCAAATTCAGATGAAGCCCTAACCTCTAATGTGGCTTTATTGGAAGTAGAGCCTCTAAGGAGGAAGTAAAGGTTAATGAGGTCATAAGGGTGAGGCCCTAATTTGATAGGACCGGTGGTGTCCTTTTAAGAAAGGGAAGAGACTCCAGAGATCTCCCTCTCTCCGTGTGTTAAAGCCAAGGAGAGGCCTTGTGAGGATACAGAGAGAAGGCATCTGTCCACAAGCCAGAGAGGCCTCAGCAGAAACCAATCTTACCAGCACCTTGACCTTGGACTTCTAATCTCCAGGACTGTGAAAAAATAAAATTCCGTTGTTGAAGCCATTCAGGCTGTGATATTCTGTTATGGCAGCCCTGACAGGCTTCATACAGTGCCCTAGCATTTTTCTTTAAGACTCTTTCATTTAACCAAGATCCCCTGTTATCTTTTTTCAAAGGATTCAAACTTCCAGTCTCATCTCTATCTATTGTCCTCAATCTTGTTCTCTCTCAATCATCTCTTATCATTTCTGTATTGCTCAGATTTTATTAAAATAGAGTCTTGTGCTCTTTAGATAAGAAACTGAGGAAAATGTAGTACAATGTGATTTTTCTTTGAACTGACTGGTTAAGAAAAATATAGCTCATAACTCTGCTTTAGAATTAAATTGCCAAAATACTTTAATTTCCATACACATTTTATTATCTTCTTTATGCCTTACATATTAACTTTATTCATCTGAATCCATTTGAAAAATGGTGACCCTACCTATCAGGCTATCAGGATTCCATTTCTATTCAAGCTGAGTTGTCAAACTATTATTTTTTTGTGAACGTCAGAGGTAAAGAATTCTCTCTTATCTAACCATAACGACAACAGCAGCAACAACAAAATGGCAATTACATAAGCTAAAAGATTGTGTTATTCTTATTGTAGTAAATATCTCTTACTATATACATGTATCAAATCATCACATTGTATACCTTAAACTTACACAGGGCAGTATGTCAACTCTATCTCAATAAAGTTGGGAAATTAAAAAAAAAAAGAATTCCACCTTAAGTATTATTGTTTTCAATACCCAGCAGGATCCCTGATTTAGATCAATTTAGTTAATTTAATTTAGTTAATACTAATCCTCAAAATTCTTATAGGTCGGTGATAAACCCAAGTTAGCAGAAAAAAAGATCCAAATGACCGTGACCCTTAATGATACATAAATGCTAAATACTACTTTTCAGGTTTAAGATTTTTATTTATTTACTTGACAGAGAGAGAGACAGCAAGAGAGGGAACATAAGCAAGGGGAGTGGGAGAGGGAGAAGCAGGCTCCCCGCTGAGTAGGGAGCCCGATACGGGGCTCGATCCCAGGACTCTGGGGTCACAACATGAACCGAAGGCAGACGCTTGACTGAGCCACCCACGCGACCCGGGTAATTAGTTCTTCATCATAACTGGCTGTGAGACCTTTGGTGAGGCACTTAGCTTCTAGGTTTGTTTTTTGTCTGTAGAGAGAAGGTATTCACTGCTATTGTTTGTGTTTTTTTCTGAGATGTGTGGTTTAGAGAAAAGTTTGTGAGGCACTGGACAAGATGATCTGTAAGATTCCTTACTTCTAACATTCTTTCTGTCATATGTCATAATTCACTGTCCCAGCTGCATGGCATGCTGGGACATTCTAACAAGCAGGATCAGGGAGCTAGGACCAGAAAGTGGGAGTGCTGTGGAGAAACCCCAGGGGCATTAGCTCAGCCTGAGGGAAAGGTATGTAATCAAACCAGCAAGTTCATGGGGATGTGGCAAACTCCAGGTGACTCTTAGTCAGCATACTCTCCAAGGGGAAAACTCGATTCTGACAGCAATGGGCATAGTGTTGTGCAGGTGGGTTTCCAGAATTGTAAGTCAAGGAAGACTCAGAGTAGAGTCATTGTAATGACTACCAAGAGTTCTGAAGCAAAGACAGTGGAATAAACTGAGCGAAGGAAATCTGGGTTGTGGTTTACCAAGCTGGGATTCAAGGTTTACTTGCAGTGAGGAAGCTGCTTGGGGGCAGAGAACCCTAGAAGACAAACCAGACACACTGGCTATATTTGGAAGCCATGAGCGTGGGAGTGTATCTGTTTGCTTCCTGGAGGTGAAAATTGTAGGCAGGCTGTGGCTCAGTGGTTACACAGACTTCTAGGACTCTCTTCACCTTTGGAATAGCAATTATTTCCATATCTCCACTACTTACTATTGAGGAGAGCTTCTTATTTCTGACCGCACTAGGTTTGAAAAATAGGTAGCGCGGAGCCTGCCAAGTGTAGGACGTGAGTAAGCCGTGGCTTATATTTGGCAAGTTGGAAGAGGGAGCAGGGTTCTCAGGGGCCATTTCAGAGACTGGATGTTTTGTGCCAAGCTCAGCCTATTGATAGTGATGCTATTGGCTATGAATGCCTGAGGGAACTCACCTAGGCCCAAGGTGAGACCGCACAATGAGAGACAATGTTGTGGCTAGAACGGCCTTTGTGGTTCTTGTTCTGATTATGAGACCCACCTCAGCATCAACTATCAGGGAACTTTGGAAAGAAAAACAAGGTTTATTTCCCACAGGTCCTGGAGGGCCACTGGCATGCCTGGGGCCACACAGAGAAGTCTCAGGGAGAGAGTGCACGCAGGCCTGGGGTTCTACTTTTACTGGGGTTGAGGGCCTAGGGTTTTGCTCTTTATTGGTGAATTTTACACATAAGAATGGGAATTAAAGAGTGGAGAAGAGAAAACAAGTGGTCAAATGGTCAGTTGAGTCAGCCAGAGATCTCTAAAACAAAACTTCAGAAGCGGGTCTGCCTAGCTTTTCAGTCTGGTAGCTGGCAATGTGTTTATTTGAGAAAGCAGTCTGGGAAGTAGATGCCTCAGCAATCAAAAGCTTAATGTCAGGCACTTCCATTGCAATAAAAAAGGCCAACTGTCAGGTGCTTACACTTCATGGGGGCTAGGACCAAATGGCAGAGTCATATGAAGCTGACTTAGTGCATCAGAGAAAAGAAGGTTCTGTCAATGACAGCTATCCAAAAAAATGAATTCTTTATCAGTTGTTAGTTGAATTAGAGTTGTCTGAAGATCTATGAAGACGCTTTTGAGAGAATTCCTATCAAAGCCATCAGCAAGCTCATCACTCTGCCTTTAAGTTTATCTGTAATCCTACCACTTCCCCTCACCCCATCCCTAGCCCAGCTGCCATCAACTCCTGTCTGGACCACTGTGGTCACCTCCTCGCTAGGCTCCCTTTCTCAGGAAAGACCTAAATTTTCTTTGAAAGACACACCTAATTAGATCCTGGCCCACCTCAGATAATCTTTTTTATTCATTTATTTTTAAAGATTTTTTTTTTTTTTATTTGAGAGAGACAGAGAGTATGAGTTGGGGAGAAGGACAAGCAGACTCCTCGCTGAGTGGGCAGCTCCTTCCCAGGACCCTGAGATCATGACCAGAGCCGAAGTCAAATGCTTAATGGACTGAGCCACCTAGGTGCCCCAATTTTTATTTTTATTTTTTAAAATGTTTTATTTTTAAGTAATCGCTACACCAACATGGGGCTCGAACTCACAATCCTGAGATTAAGAGTCACCCGCTCTTCTGACTGAGCCAGCTGGGCACCCCAATCTCCTTTTTTATTAATTCAAAGTCTACTAATTTAGGACCTTAATTACAATTGCAAAATCCTTTCACTTTTGCCACGTAATACAACATGACCCCAGGAGTGATATTCCACCATATTCACAGGTCCTGCCTACACTCAAGGGGAGGGCATTAAGGGTGTGGGTCATTGGCAGCCATCTGAGAATTCTGCCTACCACAGGGAATATTACTAGCCTTCACTTGATCCTGTGGGGAGCTCTGGGGTATAAATTACATCTCAGAGTCTGTGGAAACTTGAGGCAAGGAAGCTTGACTTCCATATTCTCCCACCAGTCTTACTGGTTAAGGCCTCTCCAGGGGATGTAACCTCCCAGGTATTTTGGGCTCTCAGCAAGTATGGGCAGAGGCTCCAGTAGCTCTCAGTCAGTTATATGAAGAAAGTTGCATATGCAAACCATTAAAAACAAAACAAAAAAAAGCACAGAAAATGAGAGAGAGGCACACAGAAAGAATTAAGGAATTATAGGGGATCCAGTAAAGTACCAACAGTGGCCAGTACCATCCTCATTCTAACACTCAGATCTACTTGAGTCTCACTTTAAGTTCATTCTGTCCTGTCTTGGCTCCTTCAAGATGGTGGTTGGCCACATTTCTTGGGCAGAACTTACCAAAAGACCAATGGCGAAGTCAGCTAAAGCCCCAATTGGTACAGTCAGTCTGGAGGACATAAATGATATTCATGATTTCCCTCCTCTACCCATTTTCGTTTGTCTCCTCAGCAAGCATTTCTTCTGGTCCCAGAGGGCTTACCTACTGACGTGACCCAGGCCCTCATCCTTGCTAGGTCAGCCCCTCGTTCCCAGGCCCTTATGCCATTTCTGTGGCAGTTGCCCATTTTGAGTTAAAACTGGGCATGAGGGCAGCACGCCTTGCCCCTGTGGGTCCTCTGAGTCCCAGGGGGCATCCCTCCTGCCCCATTCTGCAGCATCAGCTCTATCTCCTCACTATGAACAGGGTCACCTGCCCCTGTCAGTGTAGTAACTCTTTTCTTTCCCTTTTATTCTAATGGTAAGAACACTGAAAGACCATGTGGCAGGTATAGCTGCAAGTTTATTAGAACTCTTATGGTGTCCCATGGCAGAAGCATTTCCTCTCTGGCAACCAGGGTATGTAGACTCACAGAACCTATACCTGTAAAGATAAGAAGGATAAATTCTCCAAGTGGGTCTGTTTCTAGGAATGATAATGAGCAGTGCCCCTTCCATTTCTGCTCCTCAGTGTCTGGGCCTGTGTTCTGATTGTGGGGGGAGGTGCATAGTGCCACATAAAGGCTGTTGGTTGGGGCGTCTGGGTGGCTCAGTAGGTTAAGCGTCCAACTGTTGATTTTGGCTCAGGTCATGATCTCAGGGTCATGAGATTGAGCCCTACGTTGGGCTCTGTGCTGGGCATGGAGTCTGCTTAAGATTCTCTCTCTCTCTCCCTCTGTGCACCCCCACCCGCCACCACCCCTCTGCTTGCTGCTCTCTCTCCCTCTCTAAAAAAATAAAATAAAATAAAAATAATAATAATAAAAGAAAGGCTGTTGGTTGAAGGTATAACACTCTGAAAGGCAGTGACCTGAACTTGCAGTGAGTCATCTCTAAGCTAGTGCCAGAGCTGCATCTTTAAGAGCATTTTTAAGAGCATTCCAACTATCAGGCAAGTGGTCCCTAGGTGATGCCATCTGTGGTTGGACCAATGAATCTTGTGACCATTGGTCCTTGTTGTGACTTCTTTGCTCTTAATTGGTTCCCTTTGTATGCAAAGTGAGACTTTGTTATATGGGATCCCAAGATAGTGTGGGCAAGGAAATCAAATTCAGAAAATGTGTCAATCCGAGTCAAGACCAGACCCTGCCCCTTCCTGGGGGGAAGGGATCTGATGTAATTAACTTCCCACCATGACACTGATTGGCCTCCTTTGGGGAAAGTACCATAGCGCAGGCTCAGTGTCAGTCCCTGCTGGTGATAGACCAGATACATTTAGCAGCTGCAATAGCTAATAAATCAGCCCTGGTGAAGGGGAGTCTATGTGGCTAGGCCCTGCATAGCCTCCATCTTGGCCATCTTTGTGCAGGCACCAGGTGGCTAGTGACAGAAGTCTGACATTTTGGGCAAGTCTTCAGTTGTTTAAAGCATCTTTTGCTGTGGATCCACTCTGGTGGGCATATGGGGGATACAGAAATCCTCACACTTTGGCCCCCAGGCTGTCATGTTCCCAGTCTTACTCCTTCCAGATCTCTGACCAACCAACTAAATTATTCACCACAGCTTATGAGCAATGGTGAACTAGGGGGACAGTGGCAAAACTGGTCCTCTCCTGTAGGCAAGAAGGGTGTGTGTTGTAGGCAGAGATTTTCAAACAATAATAAAAATGCCTAAAGTTCAGTTCACTTTTTATTGTCACTGTGACAACTCTAAACAATGTGGGTATTAAACTATTCCTCCATGCTGGGGTGGAATGTTCCTATTGCCCCTTCTCCCAACGATATCTGTCCAAGAATCCGTGACACCCTTACTCTGGATCATTTCTCTCCATACTAGTAGAGGACCAGGCATACTACCTGAAACTCAGTCCATTAAGGAGATTTCTCCTCACCACTGTCTTCAAGAATACTTTTACATGGGACGGGCTGTGGAGCAGCCCATTTCACGTGTAGCTTGCTCCAATAAGCTGACCATCCGTGAACTATTCCAACCTTGCCAAACATTATAGTAACTAAGTTCACCTTGTCTCTGGTGGTTAAGATCTGCCTCCTGGCCTCTACTATTCCGGAATCCCACCATCCCCATTGTCAGTAAGGAAAATGGTTCCATAACAGCATCTGGAACCATCAGCCCTTGGTAACGAAGGACCTCACAACTGAGTGTCTCAAGAGCGCTACGTCCCTCTCATTAGAACATTCCTTATTGTGTAAGTGAAAGGAGTGTCCTTTGGGCCCTCACAAGGAACAGCATGGGTCCTTGAGTCTTAAATAATTGATTCACTCTGACATGTTCTTATCTCTGAGCCTTTAAATACCATCTTTAACACTCTGCCAAGGCATTTCTGGCATCTCCACTTCTTTTAATGTGGGCTATTTCCCCCCATAAACTTCTAAAAGCCAT